ACTGCAACCAAGACTCCCACACCAGTCTTGCCCAAGACCGCCGTGGCGGCAAAGGCCACCACTACCAAGGCGCCGCCCCGAGCAGCCTCGAGGTCCACAACGGGCGCTGCCAATAATAAGGCGCCTCGCTTGGTCTCCACTACACCCGTGGGTCCTCCCAGTGTGAGCCCCAATGCGGCCACGTCTCCCACGTCGTCTCCCAAGCCAACCGTGTATCCTCGACCCACCACCAATAGCACCAAGGGTGCTGCTGCTGCCTACACGTATCCACCACCACCTCCGTACAGCGGTCAAGCTGCCTCCAAGAACGGTACAGCGTCTAGCAGCTATAGTAGCTATTACCACCACTACCACCATCATCACGCTGCCGCTGCGGCTGCTGCTTCCGGATCTCCCAATAACAGCAACAAGGGAAACACTACCAAGGACGGACGGTACACATATCCACCGTATCATCATCCTCATCACCCGCATCATCCTGCTCATCACCCACACCATCCAGGACACAAGGGAGCTTCTGGATACAGCTATCCTCCAGCGGCGCATCCTGGTGCCAAGGGGTATCCCGCGACGACTCGCCCCGCCACCACGGCCATTGCTCCCAAGACAAATTCCACTACTACTACTACTACGGCTCCTACTTCTAGCAGCAGACCCGCCGCCATTGCCCCCGCACCGACGGCCAACAACTCGACTACTACTAGCCAGTCCGCCGTCACGTATGTCCGGGCTGCTCCCAAGAGTAATACTCCCGTGGTGGTGTTGCCACCCAAAAATACAACGGCGGTATCTCCCAATGCGGCTGTGGTTCCTGCCAAGACGACGCCATCCTCTGTCTCTCCCAATGCGGCCGTGGTTCCTGCCAAGAGTACAGTGGTGCCAACAGCATCAGTTTCACCAAACGCAGCAGTTGTTCCCGCAAAGAGCACTGCGGTTCCCCACCAAAAGACAGCAGTTGTTCCTGCATCTGCAGTTCCTGTAAAGACGACTGCGGTTCCCCAACAAAAGACAGCAGTTGTTCCTGCAACGGCTCGTTCCCCGAACGCGGCAGTGGCGCCCGCGAAAATTGCTGTGGTGCCTACAGCATCGGTTCCACCAAAGGCGGCAGTTGTTCCGCCAAAGATTGCCGTGGTTCCAAAGGCAGCAGTGGTTCCGCCAAAGACGACCGTCGTTCGTGCTACGACGGCTTCGCCCAATGTCACTGTGATTCCGGCAAAGAGTACAGCTGTTCCATCCAATATGGCACAGAATACGACGGTCTTGAAGTGCCCAGTAATGCCTCCAAAAGTGACACCCACGGGAAGTCCTACCAGTCAGAAAGTGGCGGTAGCACAAAGAGTCGCTGTGCATCCTGCGCCTCCAAAGATGACTCCAAATGTGAGCTATGCACCTGCTACAGCAGTCCACAAGAATATTTCTACCGTGCCACCAAAGGTCATCCAACCAACCGTGATGGTTCCCAAGTACCCGCCAAAAGTCACCCCCACTGGCAGTCCTAGATACCACGCTCCACCCACCACAACGGCGCAGCAGAGTACAGCAGTAGTTCGTGGCGCCGCTACTGCAGTAGTAAAAATTTCCCCGCCCAGCAGCAATGGCCAAGCAGCGACTGTGCCAAAAATCACACCAAAGGTTATTCCATCAAACCCAGTGATTCCGCCCAAGGCAGCTACCACCACGAGCCAAAATGCTACAACCACAGCACAGCCGCCACGACCAGGCGTTTCCACTAATTCTGCCGCAGCCCCCAAGGTTGTTTCCGCCGGAAATTCCGCCAACTCTACCCCAAACCAGCCGGAAATTAGCGCGGTTTCTACCAAATCTACGACGGAAAATTCTCCCAAAATTTCTGCGCCGGTTGCTCCCCAGAAGCCGGTTTCTGCGACCCCCAGCGCTACTCCTAAGGCACACCCAACAACCGCACCGCAAGTCGTAGTTCCCCTCAAGACATCCACAGGTGCTACCAGCGCTGTTGCTACTGCTGTAGCTGTGAAAGTTACTCCGGTCAGCAGCCCTCGCCACCCACCAAAACATGCTACAATCCGGGGCCATCCTTCTACTAGCACAACAGTGCCGCAGTAAAAATGGGATCATGATGGATTCGATACTTCTTCTTCTCGCTCTCAAATTTCTTTTTGACAGAACGAATCGAATCCATCCAATATTATTTGTTGTTTCAATTACAGTATCATCGATCGATCAAATCAATGCATCAATCAATCATTCCGCCAACAAGGCAATTCTACATTTTCACAAACATTCTCAACACTTCAGGAAACCAAAAAACAAAATCACTACAGTAATGGACACACAACACAATCGAACAGAACAGAACAGAACGTGACACGCTCAGAAGAACTTGTTCCGTCACGAAAAAATCAAATCAAGGTGGTACGAAAAAATATTTCACCTCACTCAGTACAACAAAAATCACAAGAATGAAACATGTAACGGTTCAATCAATGCCTTGGATAATAGCTATATTTATTTTATCCTGGGTACAACAGGCTGTGTTCTTTTTGTCGTACGCTGTAGTCGTTAGGTTATTCTATTCTTACTGCACATTCTACAAGAATATGTTCTGCAGCTCCAGTTTGGAATGGCAGCGTCCTCTTTGTTCTGTGTTCGTTTGGTCGACACTGAGGAGTCTTTGAGGACGAATTCTCTACCTCGTGCGCAGCCCATGCCCTCTCTCCTTTGGGTCGCCGATATCCGGTCTGAACAGACAAGTTCATGGTCCGCGCAGCGAGGATAAGAAGAAGAAAAAAGAGATGCCATAAGAACTCGTCTCCCGTCTCAACAGTCTATGGTACAGTTGCATCCAAGATATTCCTTTCAGTGTGCTGCAAGTTGCGAAGGAGAAGTTTTAGCGATAATGAAATGCCGGTGTTTTCCAGCTCTGATGGTTATTATCCTCTCAATTCCTGCTCTGCTGCTTTAATCTTTTTCATGACGGGTTCCTACTGGAGTAGCAGGTCTGAAACAGACAAGTTCACGGTCCGCACAAAGAGGCTAAGAACTCGTCTTCCATCTCAACAGTTTTCACTGGTCTTTGTACAACAACATTCTGGAAGGATCACTGCCTAGTGGTATTGCTACTACATAGATAGACAGAAGGATTGACCTTTGAATCATTCAGCCAAAAGACAAATTAACTGCTCCAGGTCCTTTCCATGTAATCAAAAATGCATAGTATATTTTATTAAAATGGATAATGTTCTCCTTATCAATTCAAACAGGGACAATCACAGCCACAAAACATGGAGGTACAATCAAAGCCAAGAACGCACTGCTCATCCTGATACCATACACAGGAAGCATTCTGAAAGAAACAGAGGTCCTCAGGGACAGTGCCAGACAACCCAGAATTGTCAGTTAGATTCAGAACACGCAAATTTGTCAACATTCCAAGCTCGGAAGGAAGCTGGCCAGTCAGCTGATTCTCAGACAGCAAAAACCGAAAAAAGCTTGTCAACATTCCAAACTCGGAAGGAAGCTGGCGATTCTCAGACAGCAAAAGCCGAGCAAAGCTTGTCAACATTCCAAGCTCGGAAGGGATTGACCCATGCAGTTGATTCTCATCAAGTCGCAGGTATTTCAGATTTGTCAACAGTTGAAGGTCGTGAAGCGGACCAGTCAGTTGATTCCCATATAAGTCTAATGAACTCAAAGCAGTCATTTGCCCAAATTCCAAAGGGATTGGCCCATGCAGTTGATTCCCCGCCAACCACGCCGATGCCAACGTTGTCAACAGTACAAGCTTGGAAGGAACCTGGCCAGTCAGCTGATTCCCACTTAAGCGGACCTAGGACAAATCTGTCATTTGAAAGAGCTCAGAAGGAATGGGGCTGTAAGCTGATTAAAAGGCAACCTCAGCATGCTCAATGAAGTCAACAGTCCAAGCTCAGAAGCCCAGTAAGCTGACCACATTCAAGCTTGTCAAAGCAGTCAATTGTCCCAGCTGAGAAGGGATTGGACCAGACAACTCACCGAGCGACAAACTCATCATAGCTGAAAGTTGTCCTAGCTCGGAGGGGATTGGTCCAGTCAGCTCACTTCCAATTATACCCAATGCACCAAGGTAGCCAAAGCTGGCAGTTGTCCTAACTCGGAGGGAAGTTGGCCGGTACCGTGGACACTCCAAATCCACAGAAATTCCAAGCTTGGTATCTTGTAGAATTCTTCTGGAAACAGGGAAGAAAATGCCGCGGGATGTGTTGAAATCCCGTATATTGGAGCATGACCACTCCGGAATTTAATCTGGGACAAGCTAGTCAAGAGGGTAACTTCGGGCGGGAAAACTGGCAGGAATTCATCAACCTCAAGGCCTGAAAGATCGATCATTGTAAATCGCCCTTGGCTGTTGCAAGGTAAGGTTGCAGATGCTTCAGGTGTTGCTTTATAGTTTCCATTGTAATCAATCAATTTATTCCCACCGGAGAACCAATCACATTCGTCCTTTTCATAATCCATCCAATGTTCCTTGATCAGAGGGTTCCAGTGCACTCCCTGAAAGGAATAGAAGAAGGTTGCGAGAGCAAAGAGCTGAGTTTTCCTCCACTCTGGCAAGTATGTGATATTCTGGTGATTGTTTGGCAAGCCAGTTCCTCGCCTTCCACTGAGGTGTGTCACTGCTATTGTTGAGGCTGGCAATAGAGAAGTCAGGTAGATTATACAGCAGTTCATCCAGAGCCCCAGTCGGGGTAAAGGATAGCACCTCCGATGGCTCCATGGATCCATATACAGTTGGCGTTTCTGTTGAGATAATGAGCACAGGGTCTTTTTGCTTTTGGGAGCCAGTCACAAACCCAATAATAATGGTAGCAACAAGGCACAACCAAATCACTGCTGCTGCAACAAACAGCTTCTCTTTGGCCTTTTGGTTTTGCTCTCTTTGTTGAATTTGTTGTAGGTTGACGGGATCTGCCGATGGAATCATTTGCCCCTCTTCTACAACCATATTTTCCTGTTGCATTGTTGTTGTTGGTGGTGGTGGTGTTTGCTGTGGCATTATTGTGTTGACGTTGAGCCTCAAGAAGGGCATAATCCAAAGTAGTGGTGCGTTCCAAGTTTCCTGTTCCCGGCGCTCCCAAGTAGGCTCCCGGTTGAGATTCCAGTTGTCTTTGTATAGGGGGTGGTTCGCCTCAACATAGTTGGCTGGATATCGTCTTGTTGGTTTTGTGGTGTACTGTCTTCTTGTACCGGTACATGTACGACACTAGCATGATTGTTTGTGGAAGGAATTCCTTGAGAGACTACCATTGGTGCGGCAGCATTAGTATCACTTGGAGCGTTCTTGCTCAGTTTGTCTGCTTCATTGATTTCCAGCGCTACTTGCATCAGAGCGTGGTGTTCCTCATCATCTTGAGTGCTATCTGTGGCCTTTGCCATTTGTTCTGTGCATGCATCGTCGCAGAGCCGAGCTCCGACAACTTCTGTGTCTAACTTCTTCCCCTGATCTACTTCGCTGCTGGATTCCTTCATCCTCTCTTATCTTGGGAGCAATAGGAACAACGACAACACAGGAGAGGTAGGCAAGGACAAGAAGAGGGATGGAAATGGAGAGATTGAGGAGACTCTTTTAGGTTGGACGAGTATTTGGTGAGAATTTTCCGACCGAGCAGCACGCTAGCTACTACAGCGTACTAGCTGCGAACAGCTCTGCGAATCCAGTAAACTTAGACCGGTAAAGTTGAAGTTGGGCCCCAGACCAGCACGGACAAAACGGGATCGGCATCCGTCAGACGTAATGTCAGAAAACGGCACTGAACGGTTTGAAAATATGTACGACTGTAACACGCACCCATTGGAGGTGCATACCGGTAGCTTTACCGGTACGCATGTAGCTACCGGTTGCGACGTGCGTATCGTACTGCTGGTAGTGTTAGTGTACGTACTTCGGTTCAGTGGAAAAGGTGATTCACACGCCTTTTATTGACGACAAGATCTCCACGGAGAGAGTCTTCCTCGACTCCCAGCCACCGCCTCAGCTGTCCGCAATCTGGTTGGCATGGGCAGTTCACTAAGACTATTTAGGTATGACCAAATACTCCTAGAGTATGTAGTGTCGAAACGATAGTGCTAGTAGCGCTGGGGAACAAAGGAGATATCCAGTACACCAGTGCACCAATCCAAAACCGTTGGAACCCAACATTGAACTGAGAAGAGCCCATGTGCTGACGAACAGCGTGTCGCAGACACGGTGCCGAAAGCCACATGTCAACTGAGTCAGTGAACACCCGGAGTGGTATACAGTCGGACTGTAAACCACCTTTACTCTAGGTGTAAACCCACGAAAGAAAGAGGCGCGCAAAAAGACGCGAGCCAACATACCGTACGAGGGAATGAAGACTGAAATTTAAAAGTTAGGCCACCGGATTGACAAAAAGTAGCCAGTTTACACTCTTGGAGGAGGAGGGGCCAGGCGCAAAGGGCGACCATGGCAATCAATCAGCGGCACCACCACCGTTCATTAAGAGGCTGGGCCAAGACTTAGAGGGCAAACTCAAAGACTTAGAGGATCCCATGTCCTTTTCAAGCATCGACTTCGCGCGAAGGACTTTTGATTTTGAAAGCATGGATGAAAACACGTCACTCGAAATGACGTCATCAACGTGACACTGCCCGGTCACGAGATAACGTTATCGCCGACCGACGTCAGTTGGATTCTGGATTTTTAAATCGGGGGTGAAATCCAATCCGGTCAGGAGACCGAGACATAGCTGCCACCAATCTTGCCAAGAGCGCAAAACTTAGGGGCCGATCAGTCAAAGACTTAAGGGCCGATCCAGCTTCTGTTGTTGTTGTTGTTGTCGAAATCGCGAATCGCGACCATGGCCCTGGAGTCGGGGCGCACGGCAACAACGGCAGCAAGGAGGATAGGATACACTCCAGGGCCAGTTGGCCGAGGAGGGGAGTCAAAGCACCAGTTGGTGTCGCTCAAGATGCCAGTTGTCGGGGCTAGAGAAGCACCAGTTGATGAATGAGTCATTATGGCAAGTGTGGCTAGAGAATACCAGTCGATGAACTCATCAAGGCCGGGGTGGTGGCTAGCAGAAACACCAGGTGGTGAACGCATCAAGGCCAAAGGAGATGAGGCGCCAGTTGGCGAGCGGTCATCATGGTGGGAGCACCAGTTGTGGGAGCACCAGTTGGTGACTCGCCGTTGTGTGGCTAACAGAAACACCAGGTGGTAAACGCATCAAGGCCAGAGGGTTTGGCTAGAGAAACACCAGGCGGTGAACTCATCAAGGCCGGAGGTTGTTTCGATCGATCGTTGTTGTTGTCGGTTATCGCGAAAAGCACACGAAAAAAGACCGATCGAATCGTTCGTGCGACAAACAAACGCAGGGTCCAGCCAGCCAAAGAGCATACAGCGGTAGTGGTAGCGGTAGCGAGTAGCCGTGGCTAGTCGCCGTAAAAAAAGGACATCATTGTCCTCTTCCTTTGGTGGCTGCTCAGAGCAATGAGTGGCTCCTAGCACTATCTGCAGTGGCAGCCAGTCTAATTGGAGCATGTGTGCTACCACATTGCTCCGCTTAGAGTCATGGCTACAGGATTCGATTCGATCTAGTCCTCCTTTTGGACGATCAAGCTGCATCTAAGAAGTGCAATTGTAGGTAATTCTGAAAACGAGACCTCAGGTCTCGTTTGGGAAGCACATCCCAACCTCTCCTTCCGAACCAAGCCCAAGGTTCCAATTAGGCAACCGGTGCTCCAGGTTGGAAGGTGACGTACTTTACAAGATCTACTACTGGCAGGGAGAAGACAAACTTCAGTAAGTGGTATGTTACCATTTGTGCCCATGGTGTATCCAACCGTTAAGTCATTGTCTACTGAAATAGAAGTCACATCGCCATCTGTTTTTGGATGGTCAGAAATGAAGAATTCATTCCCAACAACAATAGAATCCTGCACAGAGGGGCTATTAATCCCAGAGGCGTTACCTACCAAAAAGGGACCTGCAGGGAGCCAAGTTTCAACTAAAACCTAGCTAAAACGAAGATAAGACTAGGATAAGAGTGGGAATATCAAAAGTGCTAGATTGTTAACGCATAATCCAAATAGAGCAGTACTGAGTCACCAAAAAAGAGGATCACCGTAAAAGTCCTCATGGTGAAAGGGGTGAAAAGGGAGAAAAAGGCTACCACCACCGACCAAATTTAACAAGATGCAGCAAAAAAAGAAAGCGGAGGCAAATGGCCCTACCGAAAAAGCACCGGAAGGTTTCCGAACAGAGAGAACTTGGCAACAAAATTCTCACAAAAGCCCTGCCAAAAAGCACCAAGGGAATCAAAAGGCGGCCAAAGGCTTCCCATTCAATGGGGCCTTGGGTGCCAATGACAAACCTGAAGACCCTAAGCACAGTCACCCAGACTACGTAGACGCTTCGCCTCTTCTTCTTTTTCTTGTTCACGGCATCTGGATCGGGCTCGTGGTTTTCCTTTCCACAATATTTCAACATCCATTTCAGCATTTGTTGTTCTGCATCTTGGGCATTTGGCTTGGCACGGGCTTCCTGAACCTCAAGCTTGAGGCATTGTAGCGCCTTCGGCCTGCATTGGACCAACCTCCATACTTGGCATTGCTCACCTTGGAGTTTGAGTATTTGGTAGCAAACTTTTTTTCTCCGAGTCCTTGCTGCTCTTGGGGGCAGTCCAATTCTTTCTGCCACAGTCATTGTTCCCAGGCTGGAAGCAAAGGTTCCATCTGGTGTAGGAGTTCACGAAGATGAGGAGGGTCATTGCATCAGATCCGGGAGGTACACACAGCTTTCCCTGCCACTTGGCCACACTAATCAACTGGTTGTGGCGGATTGACTCCCTTAACCAGCTGGATGCACCAGCAAAACATGGCAAAAGCTTCTCCGTGTAAAGGAAGAATGCAGCTTGATTTCCTCACGCTCTGCCTTTTCTTGTGCACTGGCATCTTGGCAAGGTCTTCAAGAGGAACCTCCCGCATCACCAAAGCTTTGAGCTGTTCCGGAGTTTGCATCTTGTCGAGTCCATGTGCAGCACAAAACTCCTCGGTCTTGATGTACGTCTGGTTCACGACGAAGTTGCGTTGCTCGTTCATGATTGCGGTGATAGCATCTTTCCAATGGGCACCCCATGCGGCGCGCCTTTCCTTGATCACTGTTAAGAAAGAGAAGAACAACTGTTCCAGATTGGTCAGTTGCATTGGGCAATTAGACAACCAAAGGTTCCCGATCGAGTAGCCAGAACTTACCCTTGTCCTTCTTACGTTCGCCGGTCAACAAGAAGCAAGGCCTTCTTGCTCAGTCGATCCAGTACAAGAAAGGAAATGGCTTCCTCCGATTTATCGCTGCTAAAATTCTTTCAATTCAGGTATTCTTCTTGAAAAAGCCGGAAGCTAGTATATTATCATTACTCCCCTTGGTTTTGTTGCCAAGGGCCTCTTGCTTCCAGATCGAAGTTGTTAGGTTCCCATTCCTCATCAGCCTCCTCCTTGTCGCCTTCCTCCTCATTCTTCTTCTCCTCCTCCTCGTACAAGTAATTTAGTAAGTTACCTTCTCACTACTTTCAGAGACTCCACATGCTTGTCAAGGTCATCTTTGTCTTCATAGGAATCATGACGAGACTTCCTTTGACGGTTGCTCGACCGGGAAGTGACCCCTTTCTTCTTTGATCCTCCCTTTCCACTCATTGTTGGACTATCAAGATGGGATGTGCGGCGCTTTTCCTTCCCAGAATGAACCTGCTTGGATAATGGCTTGCCAGGTGCTCGTGGAGACTCCAGTTGTGGTGGCCTGTTGGTTTTTTTGGACTTTTGCAGTCCGGATCCGGATCGTTCGGTACGGGATTTGGAAGTGTGTCCTTGGCGTTTGGTAGCGTGCCCGTTGTTGTAGCGACTGCTGCTGCCGGAATGGGATGAGTGCGACCTTGCTGATTGGGAGCTTTAGGATGACGAAGCAGTACTCACAGAGACATATGAGGACTTCGACTTCTTTTCTTGGCTGGCTGGTACCGGTGTGATCTTTGATAGTTCTGCTGCTTGTCGCTCTCCCTCGAGTCCGCACTGTAGAAATTTTCTTCTCC